TCCCCCATTCGTTCCCCTAAAGTGCGTGCACGCTTGGCATAAATACCCGAAAGCAGGAGGGGCAAAAGAACTTTGAGTTGAGTTTTACGCATGTGAGGACGGGAAAGTTTATGACTTTTGTCGTATAACTTAAACTACGTAGAATTCAATTAACTCGCAGCTCTGCTGCGGAGGAGTCCTGTACGGGGTTCTGGGATCCTTCTCAGAACTGACATCTTAAGCTCTTTCTCCACATGTGTGTGCCGTTCCAGTCCCTGGGCTTAATGAGCAGCAGCAGCAGCAGCAGCAGCAGAGGCAGCGCATTTGCCTGTCAGATTTCCCCGTTTTATTTCTCCCTCTGTGGCTACTTAAGTTTTTCCTCCAAAATGAAATAATACTCTTCAAGAACCAGCGAAGTTTTGCCCGCTCACACATGTTGCCGGCAAAAATATAGAAAGAAAAGTTGTTCCCCAAAAGAAAAGACAGAGGGGAAAACTGGTGTGTCATCCCCTGTCTGTCTGGCAGACAGCGCCGAAAAAAATATGCAGCACGCATTTTAAACGTTTTTAATTTAATTCCAGTAAACCATCCAACATTCCTTCGGTCCCTTGGCATCCCTTTTCCACCCAGAACTCTCATGGATTACCTCTAGAATGCGTGGGTAGATCCTTCGAGTGCTCGTCGTCAGTCTCTTTCAGTTGTCATGCAATTCGTTTCACCTCTGGCCCGCCCTCCCCCATTCCCTCCCATTTTCTCGTCTCTCGAACTTTTTCCCTTTGTCATTTCCGTCTGTTTTTCGGGTATTTATTTGCATTTATTTTTACGTATTTTGTTGTTGGTTTTGATTGATGGCATTTGGCGCCCATACAGTAAGGGAAAGTAGGAAAGGGAATCCACATTCTGCGTTTGTCATTTATATATAGCACAGGGTGGGGGGAGAGCACAGACGAAGGCAACCAATTCCGCCGTAGACATCGCTTTTGATACGTGTGACAGGAGACGATACTTTGGGGCAAGGGGCTTTCCATTTTGAGCAGAAATTCGGGATTTACCTTTTTTTATGAGCTCAAGAATTTGTCATTTCGGATGGGGAATGTAATGGAATATTAATTGGTAAAGAAATTAACATTGAAAAAGGGATCGGAAACAGATTGAGAGAGGAAAGCTGCGTACATGAAAGCGCGAAAAGAAATTAATGTAAAAGTTAAAAATGTTAAAAGTTACGCTTAAAAACGTATAACGAAACGAAACTGAATGAAGTTCCCTAAGTTTAGTCCAAAATCTGCTGTCAAGTAATCTCTTGCCATGGCGCACTTTTTCCCCATTGCAAATTCGCCATTTCCCCGCAGCAAGGTCCATTTTCCGGAGTGTCTTTGCAACTCCCAGTGGAACTTCGCCAACAACTTCCCACAACCATTGAACCTTTCTTTTTTTCATACTAATTCACGGTCTTCTGTCCCTCCTCCTCCCTCCTCCGTCTGCTATCATCTCGCCACCACTTGCAGCCGCAAGAATTGTCAACAAAGTGGCCATTTTGTATGCTCGACCATGCCGCATGTGTGTGCCACAATAATTAATTACAGCATTCCCTCAATGGCTGCCTGAATGCTTCTGCTGTCCTTGCTCTCTGCTTTCTCTGCTCGATTTCCCTTGCAGGGTATTTAGAAAGTTTTATGTTCTTTTGCAACACAAAAAGAAGGCGCAATCTTCTAGGATACCCAAATATTCGTTGCCCGTTATCATCTGTATTTGTTGGATCCTTGACATTTAGGAGAACAAAAAGCTGTTGCCGCTGCTGGCAAATATTTCCTAGTCGCGCTCTGCCAGCATTTCCATTTCCACTTGCCACGTTGCAACCGGAAGTGGGAAATTCTTTAGAGCGACACAAAGAGGGGGAAAAAATCAACAAAAAAAGGAAAAGTCAGCGAAGCTTCTGAAGGATTCATTTGTTGATTGTAGAGCTAAAGCCCCTCATGGTATGCATCTCTCTCTCTCTTTCTCGCTCTCTCCATCCACTCTAGCTCTGGTGGAACGCATTTTTGTGTGGCTGACAATGTGAATTTGATTTTGGCTAATTTGCCAAGCGCCCCAAAACTAATTTGCGAATTTGTCTCCATTTCTCTCTAAGTACATATAAAGCTGCCTCCCACTGCCCCACTCCCAGTCTCTCCTCCTCTAATCCCACTGTCTCTTCTTTGGTCTCGCTCTCTCTCTGTATTAATGCCCTGCAGCTGTTGCTGATTGGTTTTTATTTTATTATTTGACATATGTTTTGGGAATAGTTTTCTTTTTTTGCCTTTTGTCCGCATTGTTGGCTAATGATAACGACTGTGTTTGGGGGAGGGCTGAGGAGCGGAAATTTGGCCAACTTTTGGTGGGTTTGATTTGCATGTTTTGCCAGTCTCGGAGTGGGAGGCATTCACAAGGAGGACAGAGTCAGAGCCTTAATTAGATTAAAATGGGTGACAAATGTGTGCTGTGTGTGTGTGTGTGTGTGTGTGTGCATCAGCAGCAGCTGTTGTTGCCGTGACTAAACCGGAAATGATGGATGCGTTTTTCAAAGCCATGCGAAAATCGAGCAGAAAGAGCCAAGAATTAAAGTATTTTGCAGGGAGAAGCTGTGGAATTTAAGAGTGTTTGAAGACGGTTTTAATTATGATTTTAAATCTTAAATATTTTCTTTTAATTCCTAATTGTTTTCCGCTTCACAACTTTATTTACTTTGCCATTTTAATATTTGTTAATATTTTCTGCATTCATTTTGTTGTTACTTTTGCCATTCCCCCTTCTAGTATCATCTGTTTTAGGCTCTTAAACCTTTTTAAAGCCATCAATCAAACTGCAAAACATCATAAAAATCCAATTTAATATGCACATTTTGGATAAATCATTCCCCAAAAAAACCTAAAAACCCTTTATGTAAATTAGTTTAGATTTTCAACTGAAAATTCACTCGAAATTTGGCGAATTTTGCTTGTAATTCTTGAGGGTAATCCATCAGAAAAGTCTATTCATTGCTCTGCCAGATAAACCATCTAACAAAACAGAGGAAATCCAACAGCGGGAAAGCACCTGTTAAGCCCTTAAAAAACAACTGATGCCAAAGCGAAATGAAAAAAAAAAAACGAAAAGAAAAGTTGTGCGGGGAGAAATGTTAATTAGAGAGTGGCCCGAGGGGCAGAACCAATCCGAGACCCAGCCCCTAAGGCACAAGACCAAAGAATGACGCAAATGCCACCCACGCACAGAGAGGAAGAAAAAAAAACACACACACAGAGAAAGTAGAAGAAAAAACTAAGGAAAAATGGAGAGCGAAGAAAATGAAAGGAAAGTCAGGCAAATGGACTGGCAACGCCCTCTGGCGGCCAAGTGTCGAACCGTTTATTAATTGACTGTCAGCCACATTTCCGGTGCACAAAAACAAAGTGAAGAAAAACACGGAACAAAGTGTGGGGTGGGGAAGGGGGAGCGGGAGCGGGAGCGGGATGGAGAACTGATCCCGATGACAGTTTGAAAGGATGCTTCATTTTCCTCTCGCTCTCTGCTCCTTTTCTGACGTCCAACGTATTGCTTCCTTCTTCTCTCTTTTTGCTCCTAGCCACCCCCTCTTTGGCACCCCGTTTTGCAGCCCCTTCTCTTTAGCTGCCTTCTGTGTGCGTGTGTCCTCGTCCATTTTTTCAATGACATTTTCATAGCCATTTGGCTTGGGGGATTGCTTTGGTTTTCGGTTTTTCTGGTCAGGGGACTGCGCAACAGGTTGCGTCCAGTGCTGCCAGTTCCAACCCACAAACAACCCCTAGCCGCTGTCCCTCCACCCAGCCGAACCCAGCCGGCTTTCAATCATGGCGTCCTCGTCTCTCGGACTCTTTTTAGCCGACTCCCAGTCCTGGCTCTGTTCGTTTTTCAGTCAGCATCCGACAACGTTTCGAGCTGAATGTGCGTGCGACTAAGCGGCAAAACAACACAGAAAATACACAGAAAATAAAGCAACAACAAAAAAAAGCAACCAATAACCGAGTGTCTCTGTGTGTGTGCGTGTTCTCGTGTGTCTGTGTGTGTGTGTGTGGCATGTGCAACAGCTGTTCTCTCATTAAAGTCAGAGAACCGAACTGAGTGCGAAAGTTCCATTGAAATTTGATTTGATTTCTCCGTCATTTTTGCCCCACGGCCTGACACTTGATTAAAAAAGTTTTGCATAAATTTCGATATCCAAAAGGGGAAACGAAAGGCAAGAAAAGAGGGAAAAACTTGTGTACTTTGTGCCTTGTTTTTTTCTGTGCGCTTTGGGTAAGTTTTTTTCACGCTGCAGGCAACATATGGCCGCCTCGAGAGGAAGGCCACGCCTGCACACGGGCCGTGCCGGGCCGCCCACTCGAATGTTTGACAGTGGAGGGAAGGGAGCGGGCGGACAGTTGGGCAGGGCCTCTGTCTCCTCTGTTCAGGTCGCTTTGTCAATATTGATTTTTGTGTGATTGTTATTTATTTTTCATCTTTCACAGCCGCCCACACACACAGAGAGAGAGAGAGAGACATGTGTTTTGGGGCGACACTTTCCAATGGGAGGTCGGACACAGCTTTTCTTTCACTTTGCCATAGAGAGATTTTCCGATTTCTTTTCTTGATTTTCCTTCCCTCTTTTGCTGCTTTTGTGTGTGTGTGTAAAGTAGATCTTTGATGTAATTTAAAGCATCTCTCTGGCAGCTCTCTGGCTTTTCTTTTCAGTAAACATATGATGGCCATATGTGTGCTCCTCTGTGTCTGTGTGTGGCAGCTGTTTTCCCTTTTTGCTTTACAGCAGGTGAGGTGTACAAATTGTTTGCACCGACAGGTGGCAGGCAGCAGGCAGTAGGCAAAAGAAAAGGCAGACGGAGACGCTGTGGATCTCAATTGAGAGATTAAATTGATTCTTCGGCACTATATTGATTGAAAGTGATTTAAATTTGACTCTTTTACTTACTTGTACCGCCCCGAAATGTACACAATTTCCTAACAATTTTCTCGTTTTTCTCTGCTCATTTTAGGTAAGTCATCTTTACAACCCCATGGAATTGCACTTTTGGGTAAGAGAATAGTACTAGGAAATAGAAACCAAATCAAACAAATTAATCAGCATTTAATCAGCACGAAATGTAGTCATTAATAGGGTGAAAAAACAACACTCCACCCACTCCCCTCCTAGCCCTCGTCCAAATTCGAATTCCTCATTATATTTTTGCCTTTTTTTATGTCCAACTTTTAAGCTCAGAAAAGAGCTGAGGGTCAACTGAAATCATTAAAAATTATACACAAAAAGGAGAGAAATATTTTGTTTCATCTCTGCCCTACCCTTTCCGTCGTACCCTTAAAATAATGCAAATAAGCCAAAAGGAAAAGCGTATCCCAATCAAAGAGCAGGGGGAAATGGAAAACCGCAGCAGAACATCAAAGTTCAAATGTGGTGGCAACAGTTGTTGTGGCAAATACAATAACAATAAAAATTCTACAAAAAAAAGCGAGGAGCGAGGAGGAATAACCACAAGTTTGCCTTTTCCCTACCCCGCACTTATTCTTATCGAAAAGGGGCAAAACTTTACGTAAGGCAAAAGGAAGGAAAGAAAGGGAAAATCGAGACAGCAAAACTCATGGAATTACTTTGCAAATAGTTGCACACAACACTTGCCACATGGCAGTGGCAGGCGGCTGCAAAAGCAGCAACAAATAATGAGCATTGAACGATAAAAACTCAATATATATAAAGAGGGGGAGGGCAGGGGGCGTGGCTCAAAAGGAAATATGCAAAAATGGCCAACACCAAAATTGTTGGAGTTTTCTGCGAGATAAAACGTCGAAACGCAGCGCATTGAGTGCGCTAAAGAGGGGTTAATAGAGGGCGGCAGGAGTTGGGGTAATCTCCCAAAATATTTGGGCGGGGTGCGGATTGGGGTGGAACATCCCCCACAGCTGACGACAGCTGCAGGAAATGAGAAGAACAAAAAGCCGACAAGTTGTAACCGCAAAATGTGCCAAGAAATGTCCCGCTCTATCTTTCTCTTTCACTCCCCCCCCCCCCCCCCCCCCCCCAAGCAGCCAAATTTCTCTGGAATTGTAAGTATCTACAGATACTGGTGTTTAGTGGGATGTGCGGGGGTTTTTATCAGCATTTTCGCAAACATTTTCAAGAGCAAATGACGCCAAAAAAAGGAACAAGAATTTGCACAATGATTAAGCAAGCAGAAAGAGAAGGGGAAGCAGAAGAAGGAAGAACAAGTGAGACCGCACATTGCATTGCCAAGAGAGAAGGAAACAAAAAACAAATACTTTGCGGCATGGTAGGCGTATACAGAGGCAGGATCCATGCCTCCCACTCTACAGAACATGAAATTAATTATCGTCATAAAATTATGCACAGTACAAGGGACACGCCCATCAGTGGTAGTCTGCCTCTTTCCCTGCCCCTTTGCATGGCTCTGCTCTGCACGAGCCAACAGTTGAGAGCAAAATAATTCGAGAAAAGTTTCGCCTTCGAGTGCGTAATAAATGTTAACGCAAATTGGATACCAGAAAGGGTGTGTGTGTGTGTGTGTGTGCATCACTTAAGCTCCTTCTCTCCGGCACAAAAAAAATACAAAGTTAACTAGACAAAATAATAGTTGTTAATAATAGTTGAAAATGGAGTTCTACTCCAGCCAAGGCAAAGCGAGAGCAAGAGCAGTGGCGGAGGGGCAGGCAGTGGAAAACTTTTAACAAAATGATGCACCCAAAGAAAATGTTGGCTGCTCCTGCTGCACCCTTGAAATGTCAACAGCGACCAGAGGAGGCAGGACACGTCTCGGCGCATTTATTGGAGGGGAAACTGACAGCCAGAAAAGAGCAAACACCGAAGTTGGGGAAAGAGAAACTCTTTGATCAATAGCAGTGACACTGGAACAGTCTTTAGTCATTAATTAACTGAAGCAAAAGCCTGAATAATAAATTACAGAGTAAAGACTAAATATTTTTAGCGATACAAAGTTTGGTGCCTCTTCCTTGAGTATTCTACAATCCATTGTTATATTTGTTCTTTATGCATAATCCTCAATCTTTTCGACAAAGTGGGGAAATTTCTAAATTTCCTTTGCCATTTTCGGCGAAATTTCAAAAGAAAAACTTTAACTTTTTAACTGAAATGTCTGGAAGGAGGAGCCGCAATTTTCCTCGACTCTACAGCCAGTCGCATTTGCCTGTCTCCTTGGCATCTAATCAACTTGTCAAACAAGGAGTTTTCTTTCTAATTTTCCAGCCACTCCATCTTTGTCTCTCTCTCTCTGGCTGCAGCCTTCTGCCGGCTTCTCTGCCAATCGTCTCAAACTTCACGTCTTCATTAACTTGTACTCCAATAATTCACACGTGTGACATCTGCCACGCTCTCTCTCCCTCTGCAAACTCAAGTGCAAATTTTCATAAATTTTCTTCTCTTTTATATTTTTTTAATGTTTTTTTCTATTTTAATTGCAAAAAACTTCGCTTCTTTGAAGGAGTCTCGTGTGTCCTTCTAGTTTTCGTCGCTTTGGAGCTTCTTACTCATTTTCTTTCTCTGTTTCTCTCTTGTGGAGTTTTTCCTTTTGGCATAATTAAACTGCCATTTGGCACGTACGCGGACTTAATGATATTTACAACCAAAAAAAACAGCAGGAGCCCAGGAGCGCAAAATTGCTCCTGCTGCTGACACGTCGTTCTTTTTGGCGGACTTCGGCTCCTGTCTGTGTGTTTCCCAGTACGGCTCCTCGTCCGTGTCTGCTGCCGCTGCTCCCTCCGCTACACTACTGTCTCCATTAGCAGCACGACACCTGCCAGCCACGCTCCTTCTCTCTCTCTCTCTCTCTTCCTCGACTCTGCTAGTTCTGTTTTTTAGCTTTTGTGCCTCATTTGGTACCTGCTCCCCACTGCTCCTTCTGCATGTCTTTCCATTCTCCTTTGCCTTCTTTTGGGCTCTTTCTCACATGTTTTTCTTTTGCTTCTTTTGGTTCATTTTCCAGTTTCTAGCGTGAAAAATTAGCAAATTCCTGCAGCATAATTGCTTGCTCCCTCTCTCTCTCTCTCCCTCCCTGTCTCTCTTCATCTCTTCTTTCTTTCCCACTTACGCAAACTCCTTTTCTTTCCTGCCAGCTGCCCCTGCCACCACCTTTTGCATGCGTCGCAAATATTTTTGCACATAATAAGTAATATTCACGGTGCGTGCTCTCTGGGCAAAGTTTTCGCTAACTCTCTCCCCCCGTTTCTCATCTCTTCCGTTGCTCCTCTATTCTTCTGCTTTTATTGCTTCCCTGGCATACAATTTTGTTTTCGGTTGCGAAACTCCGCCGGGAAGAACTTTAAGTTCAAGCCGAAGTTTGCGCGAAGTTCTCTCTCAGGTGTGTGTGTGTGTGTGGCACAGGTGTAAAAACAGCCTAAAGAGGGGAAGAGTGGGCAGAAAGAGAAGAAATTGAAGTTTGAAACACACTCAGAGTTTGGCAACAACTTTTTGCTGTTGCTGCCCGCCACCATGTGTGTGGGCTGGCCACCACCCAGACGGGGCAGGGGGCTTGTGTAAGGGGCATAAGTAGTACTAAAAGAGCTTACTGTGGTCGTCTGCTCCTCTCAGCCGAACACGATTTTTGAATTAATGCATAAAATGCAAGTTTTTTTCACTCCCCTCTCCGGCTGGGTGCTGCCCCTTGCCCTTACCCTTACCCTTACCCTTCTTCTGCTGTGGCATCTCTACTTTGTTTTTGTTGTTGCAGTTTTGGGGGTTTTAGGCCAAATGGAAATTGAATGTTTTCTGTGCATTGTTTTCCATGCTGTGGTTGCTGCCTCTGCCAGTGTGGAAAGCGCTTGCGGAATAGCAGTTGAAAATTAGTTGAATGTGAATTGTATGCCGCCAAGGAGAAGGAAGTTTTGTAGAGGGGAAGGGAAATAGAGTCTCAGGAATGAAGAGAGCTGCAGGCTGGAGATGCAGGCCGCAGATGGATTGGTAATCATTTCTATAAGACAATTCGACACTTCAGATCCGTGGAGAGAGGACAGAGATCCTCTGAGAATAATTCTAACTGAATTTCCTTTTCGAAATAGAAATTTGAACCACTTTTCATGGAGAGTTAATTGAACTTCCCATAGAGTGTTCGGAGAATTCACGTTTGTGTTCCATTTCATATTTAATTTCTTCCCCTTATCAATTTGGATCAACTTCAACTTTAATTTCTTTGCTTGCTCACAATTTTCTCACTCTTCCAGTATCCTTGGGACATTTTTCATTTGCTGTTCCATCGGAGGATATTTTCATATTTCTCAAGTCGTTGTGTCTGCCATTGATGTTCTTCATCCTTTGGCCCCACTCCCCTTGGAACTTCTTTCAACTTTCTTATGCTTCATATTTCACGCTCTTTCTGTTCTTTTTTTTCCATTCCATATTTTTCATTCCACTTCAATTATCATTACAGTTGAGAATCAACACCGCACCCCACCCACCCACTCAATCATGCGTCTCGTTTTCAATTTTCTCAATTCCCCCCAGTAGATGGCGCTAGCTCTTTTCTTTTCTTTTTTCGTTTTCCCTTTAACAGCGCGTTCGGAATATTCACAACAAGCTCAGAAAAGAGAGGAAAACTCAAGGAAAATGAAGACATATTCAATTATGGCAGTTCCGGGAAATGTGGGTGCGAAAACTCTGTAGTGGGAAAAGTGTGTGCGGGGTGTGTGTGGGTGGAGTCTGGAGCCTGGAGCCTGGAGAGTTCAATGCTAAAGCGCACTTCATCAAACGAAGTGTCAACAAAGTTAAACGAGAAACTGCAACGCCAACAGCCAGCAACAACAATGGTAATACCCAAGGCACACGCAATCCTTTCTGCGTGGGGTTGTGGGAGTGTTAAACTCCCCACTGCCACTCCTCCTGCTGCTGGTGCTGCTGCTGTACGTGTGCAACAAAACATAATTCCCAAACAAATATGAATGTCAAACGTGACTGAAATGCATAAAAGTAAAAGAATAAAAACAAGCCAGTAAAGAAGGGAGAACAAAGTTAGGAACACTCTTTCGAAGTGTATAAAAATAGCTGTAGAAAGAAGTC